TGCAAACGATTCATCACCAACCGAGATGACATCATCAGTGCTTGTGATATATGTATATATATACCACAATCTCGTGTAGAGTGTTAGACTGTCTTTTCGCTACCCATTTGGATAAAAAAAGCAGAATGAAGATTGAAATTTTGAGAGCAGAGTCAAAAAGAAGATAGATAATCCATGTAGACCGGGGTTGCAAGACGAATGAATAGATGCACGAACGTCACTTTGAAGTTGTAAAACGCATAGCAAACATGGCTAAACTGGCACTCGAACTATTCATAAAAGCTTGCAACTTACCTGATATTCGCATAGCAGTCAAATGTCTGCATACTCGAAATCTGACGATCTGCCAGCTGTGAGCAAACTGATCCCGTTATTCTAGCACTAGGATAGATTTACTTCGGAAGAGAATTTCGATTACAAAGATGAATAGAAAAGGAAAGAAGGGAATCTTGAACGACATAATTTTTCGTGGTGAACTCCAGTTTAGGTCATATTTTGATCACCCAATCACCGGTTCCATCGGTTACCGAAAATAAGGCAACAAGGAACACGCGTCGTATCATGGGGCTGAGGAAGCACCCAAGCAGACCAGGTTTTGAAGCAGGATGCTGAGAATCAGAGAAAGACTGACACCGTCCCAGACGGAGGATTTTCAGTGAATCTCGTCGGTCACTATTCCCCATCTTCGCATCCCGGTGATGCAACGGGACAACCACGGTCGAAGCTAGGTAATCTGGGTTAGTAATTTCTTTTACACACCCACGTGTGATGAACAGCAGACGGGGCGAACCCCATAGTCACGAGGACCTGCTGTTCAGTTGTGGAAACCGGCAAACCCCGGGACTAGGAGTGGCGAACCACATAAGGCCCGATTGGTTAGGCGTGGAAATACGATCCAACTGATCGAATCTCGCAATGTGTGAAACAGGTTGATAATCGAAAAAGACACCAAACATTCGGGTTGGGTGGCAATCGCGGTTATTCAAAACTCATTACCATTCGCAGCTAAAGGCCGATGGGTTTCTCTTCAGTCAGCAAATTAGTATACTAAAAAACCTAAGTACAGCTGACAGCTCAGACTAAATCTAGACTGTCAAACCAACCACAGTACCAAAACCTTTTCCTTGGTTAGAACTTCAGCTACTGTCCGAAGTTTGAATCATCGTTATAGGTGTACAGCGAGGAAAAATGAGGCGAAATTCATTGATTTCTACCAAGATCAAATTTTGCACAAATTAGGCGATACCACAGGGGGTGATTGAGTCTAAATGGAGTGAGGCAAAGAAAGTGGAACCCTGTGGTCAACACACAAACACTAAATAGGCGTACATACCGTTATAAGCATTCTCATCAGACCAAAAATGCCAACCAGAACACCATTGTGGTCGATAAGTTGTCATATTCTTCAGTGTTTCCTACCAGCCCGTGGCAGTCTTGTAGACCCCAGCCTAACAGACGACAGGGACTTATTCTGCTTATTCGCTCTGCGCACTTCTTCATGCCTAGTTTCCACATCAGTAATTGGCCACTCAAGGGTTCCCTCTAACCCGGAGCGTCCACAGCGAATAAAGCGCGATGCAGCAGAAGACATTTGGGCATACGCAGTATGTGCCCCAGGCAAAGAAGCCCATTAAACTCAACTCTCTGAAGTAGGAAGTTTATCCCTGATAAACTCCCAAATACACGACGGTTTATCTCCAGATTGCTAACTCGTTCGCTCCATTCCACGTGGACCAGACTACGTAAACCGATAATCGAAAACTACTGGTCGACGGATATCTTTTATTCGCGAATTCAAGGTCTCTCAGTCATGGGGCAGAATGGAACGAACAGTAGCACAATATGTATGACCCTTCAACTTCAGTGAGACGTCGTGTCGTCACTAAGTATTTCATTCCTGCGTACGCCGCTCGAGCCTTGGATATTCGCGCAGTTACTTCCTTGACTGCGCTAGAGTCATCTGACTCGCAACCATTTAAGCATAACAATCAAGCGTCCGCGCCGCGGTGGATGATACCCAGTCTTGTAGCATCGCTTTGCACTTGGAAGGTGCAAAGCTCATGCCGAAAGGAGTTGCAGATCTTGAAAGTCTGTCAAGAGTGCTTTGCGCCTCCTCCATACATTCGAACAGACACGATGTCGTCAGCATACTCTGAATCGCGCAGCTTTTCTCCAGCGGCCGATTCAACACCAACATTTTGGGGACTATTAGGTGCGTTCTCCAGTATTTCGTCTACGACAAAATTGAACAGGAATGGCGAAATAGGGCACCATTGACGAACTCCACTTCTGGCTTCCAACGATTTGCTTAACCTGCCGTAGATCCTAAGGCTATCCGAAGTACGCAGATACAGCAACCGCAATAGGTTTACATACTTCTGCGGCATTCTTTTGAGAAGTAGTGCACCTATTATAGATTCACCGAAGGCTCCTCTCAGGTCAAGGAACACCGCGATTGTTGACCGAGGATGTGGGTGACGCAATTCGAAGACTTAACGCAGTGAAAATTTGACCGACGCAACCGCGACCTGGTCGGAATTGTTTGCTGTTCGCGGATATTTCTGTCTTAAGGCTATCAGACGACGAAGTATATCACAGAAGTCAACACTTATGATTATCGGAACTAAACTAATACCGCGGTAGTTTGCGCAGTCCCTTCTTGAAGATCGGAACGATCAACGGATGACTCTAGGATGAAGAGATATGCTCCTCCGACCAGATGTTGCGAAGTAAGCTACTAATCGATTCGACGAGAGTCACCACCCAGTTTGAAAAGAATTTGGAGAAGGCCGTCAGGTTTCACCGTTTTTCCTTTTTTGACGATTGAATACAGCTTTGTACTAGTTATTCTAATGGGAACTAGCATGCTCTCTCTCTCAACAGATCGAATGTAACTCATCCCCTAAAATCTTTTCCACAGCAGAGACAGATACCCATACAGAAAATTGGCTTCCTTTTAAACCTAATCATTACTATCAGATTTCGGTCACCGGATGACAATTCTCTTGTGATCTTCCTCTCCCCACCACTATTTGTCAATTTAAGGAACACTCGCGCGGTTTTTCTACCCACTTACAACAATTTTTTTAATTCAGGATCAACAAACTGGCTCTTGCGGGAATACTCCCCTATACTCCCTCTAGTCTTTTGACCACAAAGTTTCGCATCACATCGTAATTCATTTTATAATCTTGAAAAATGATACAAAAATAACGGCAGCAAATGTCAGCCAAAAATTAAATAAGACAGAAACCGGAATATAGATGCTCACTTTGGCCATTTCGGCGGGAACTGCACGGCTTGCTTCTAGGTCACATTTATTTCCGACAAGTAGTCTACTGACTCGAGAGTCAGCGTAGCATTTGATCTCATGAAGCCAATCTTTAACACTGTTATACGAACTCTGTGAGAGACAAAAGGGAATTGCAAGACAGTCCAAGAGTCAGTGTGATTCGTAAAGAACAATAGCATAGAATGCAAACAGAATTTGACAACGACCAAAACAGTTAAATACAAAAACATCCCAAGATTCATAGATCAATGTGGGATCAATTTTGATAGCACATCGAATGAGCATCATACCAGTACAAAGTGTTACTCCAGTGTAGCATCAAATAAGCTGGTGATCGAATCCCTTTTGTGGAAGAACTATACCCGAATCTAAGTAGAGAGCACGCATAAGAATGTGCACGAAGAGTAAATGGAGTAGGTCTCCCACATTAGGAAGCAGGACCGGAAAAACCACCATTTCTTTGGACAAATCGAAACAGAGCAGGCCAGAATGTTACTATGCTTAGAACGCAGAGATTAGAAAAATGAGCGTATCGGAAGTTTGCCCAGTACCAACTTCCGATACAGCCTTCGAAGGACCGTAACGTGGCACTGTAGTTCAACGGGCACGCTAACTCGAATCGGCCACATAGCAGTAAACGGATGTTGGCGGAGCTCAATTCGGTATTGCAGATCCTACTGCACCACCTGCGTTGAGTCGGATTATGAACTAATTCTGTTACGCTTCACTCTTCGGCTCATCGGTCAACGGCAGAAATCACTTCCTCACTTGGCTCATCATCGTCTGCGCGATCGATCTGCCTGCGAACACAGTGGAGTAGACCAATAGTGGGAACAGATTAGACTTCCAATGCACTCAGCAGCAAACTTTGCTTTTGGGGCCGAGCTCGATTTTCGCCGAAGACATCGGATCTCCCAGGATTCAGTAGTCATGATGGATCAAAAGGCGAAACATCCCCATCTACCAGGATCAGCATAGAAACCGGTATCGCTTGCAACGCCGACTCAAAACAAGGCCTAAAGAGAAATAGCAAAATGCGGTGGGCTAAAATTGCTCGTGAAATGGAGGTAGGTTCTAGATCAGGGAATAGTCAGTCCGTTTGACTTGATACGCATTACCGGAGATCATCCAATGACGATCAGTGAGACCAATTTCGACAGAAGTGGGCAGATTAAACGCAATTAGGTGGAATTCATAGGATCTACGGTGGGTTAGGCAAATCGTTGGAAGCCAGAAGTGGAGTTCGTCAATGGTGCCCTATTTCGCCATTCCTGTTCAATTTTGTCGTAGACGAAATACTGGAGAACGCACCTAATAGTCCCCAAAATGTTGGTGTTGAATCGGCCGCTGGAGAAAAGCTGCGCGATTCAGAGTATGCTGACGACATCGTGTCTGTTCGAATGTATGGAGGAGGCGCAAAGCACTCTTGACAGACTTTCAAGATCTGCAACTCCTTTCGGCATGAGCTTTGCACCTTTCAAGTGCAAAGCGATGCTACAAGACTGGGTATCGTCTACCCCAGCACTGATGCTTGATGGTAGAAAACTAGCTGTGGTGGAATGTTTCACCTACGCAGGTAGCTCCGTTACAAATGACGGTAGCATAGTCAGTAACTATTAACCATGTCGAAACGCGCGCCGGTATTGGTTCATGTTTTTTGGCTGCCCATTTGGATGAACATGAGGAGAAAGACAGGAAAGGTTGAAAGTAGGGTTTAAAAGAGAAATCGACAAGATGCATGAACGCCACTGCTTACGACACTCAGGCATATCACTCAGTGTCTCTATCCATCGGGTATGAACATCCTGAGGTCTCTATCCAGGGAGCCTAACGGGACCTTTGTGACCCAGACTCCTGGTTAGGGTTTTCATATCCTCATTTCAGGTCTTAGCTTAACCGCCCTTGGCTTTCTTCCATGCATTACCTGCCTCGGCGAACATCGCTCGCCATGGCAACCTATCTGAAGACATGCGTAACGCCCTAACCAGCGTTATCCATGGAGGTCGACCACTTTCTCCAGTGAGCGACCGCATTAACCCAATACTCTGCGCCTTACCTCAGCATTGCTCGTTTTGCAGCCCGCATTTCCAGGGCTCGAGCAGCTTACGCAGGATTGAAACACTTTTGGTGCAGACGTAATGTTTCGTTGAAACTGAAAGGTTGAGTATACTGCGCCAGTACGTGGTCAGTTCTGCTCTATGGTTGCGAGACCCTAAATTTGCGCGTGGAAGGTGTTCGTCATCTAGATGTGTTTGACTGCAGTTTTTTACGTAGTTCACCGCGGGTTGGATGGAGCGAGTGTATAAGCAACTCGGAAGTGAGTCGTAGCATATATGGTAATGATCCGATGGGGAATTCGTTGTCTCATCGAATTGAACTTAGTCGGCTTCACTTGTTATGACATGTATTTCGCATGCCTAGCCATCGTCTACAACAGCGCGCCCTATTCGCAGTTGCAGCTGCAGGTTGGAAGAGACAGCGTGGAAGCCAACAGATGACGTGGAGGCGAGGCATGAAGAAATGCACAGCGATTGGGTAGAGTTGGTTTCCCGTCTTCCAGGTTGGGGTCCGAAAGGCTCTGTAACTGGTTGGTTGGAGACAATGAAGGATATGGCCAATGGCCGACAGCAGTGGCGTTTTTGTTGTCATTTCTTAGCAGGTCAGAATGCTTGAAAATGTATGCAATGTGTTGACTATAGAGGTTCACTTTCATTGCCTCCTTCCAATTAGGCCCAATCCCTCCCAATCTTATACTTATCACTTGAGTAGTGTACATTGTGAGCTTGGCAGTGATCAGTGAAGTTCGCTTCACCGTATCTCGCTGTACGATGATGATAGTTCGCACGTGGTTGTGCAAAGGCTAGAGTTGCACCCTCAAAATAAAAAACGCCGAGCAACGCCGGGGACATCTCTCGTACCAAACTTTCAAGGGACTTCATGATTATGTCTGGAGCCTGATTATCCTTTCCAAGGAGCCAGCCGCAGTAAAATGAAGTAAGCTTCCACACATGCCTTGCGAGTCAGTCACTGACTAGCCAAAGGCTTCGGTTGTGAATTTCTTTAGAAAGCTTATCTGCTTTGGTCTGGGTAACCTAGCAGTATCGCGCTCTCGGGCGAATCATAGACCTTTTTTTCTTTTCATAAAGATCATTGTACCATGATTTGTTTGGCACAGCCTGAATCTAGACGCACGTGAAATACATAAACATGGGTCAGACAAGCACCAAGGGTCGGTTGAGTTCTTCCACTGAACAATTGAAGTTAGTTGCGAGAATTGACGTGACACCTGCCTAGTCAGCACAAGCCTATCATCACGAACTTTCAGAGTGCCCACTGATCTTTAATCGTGTACGGTAACTGCCATCATCACACGGTTGGAAAACAGATAACAAGAGTATCAAAAACATTGCGAACCGCTGATCAGTCTCATGTCCGGTTGAAGGATTGTATGTTGCGCAAATTGCGGAAAATTATCCACCCAGATCGCGAATACAGTCAGAGGTCATGGAAGAGGCGGACAGGATGATGCTAAACGATGAAGCAGCCTCACTGTATACGTCAATGGCTTCCGGTTTAATTTGTCATCGAAACAATGGTAATGATAGAAAAAGTGGAATCGGGTACAGAGGGGAACAATGTGGAGAAACAATTACAGAGAACAAGACCAATCTTTTGTTTCATCTTTTAGTTTGCAACTCCCCAACTCTTCTCTTGGGCTTTTTGTCGCTCCCCATATTTGGATTCGATTTTTCGGGATCACCGTTTTTTCGCATAGCCCGAATGCGACAGATTCAGGACGTAGTGTCTAGACTAGTCGTCGGTTCCCCTCCATACTTCAACACCAAATTTTTCCCCTGCTAACTTCGCATACTACGTACACATCGTTGTTTCGCAAATTGTCCACGTTAACCCTTTTACTGAGCTACCATCGCGACGGTTGCGGTGTATCGCATCATCACACGGGGTCTATATTCTAGGCCCGTCCCCATACAATGACCCTGAGTTAATTGCGAACGGTGTGTCGAAACCTTGCAAACACAAGCGTCAATAGACTACCTGGAGCTACCGACAATGAGACAGTTCCAAATAGAGGAACATGGCATTTACGTTCGCGCAAGCACCCCCAGAAGCCTGTAAGGAGTCGAAACCAGCTGAGGTGGTATTACTTACATGTTTTAAACCTTCAGCAGGATGTATTCTACTGTACATTTGAAGCCTTACCATGATGAATGCAACAGGAGTGGCAATCAATTTTCTACAAAATTTCACAGTTGACTAGCCATCTCTGAGAACGAAACCTTACCGTATCAGATCACCAAACATTCAGGGAAGCCATTAAATCTACCACAAGCAGAAACTAACCAAGTGTCTATAAGCGTAGATTACATCAATCACATAAATCACGTGTAATGTAATACATCATACATATATATATGTATACAAGACCACGCTAACATCGGATCGCCTTCATATCGTTTCTTGACACCGACCAATCAGTTGGTTTCTTAGACACCAGACTGGACGGCGAGAGGCAATTACTCCTCCTGGTAGTTCTGTGCACTTTTTCATGCCTTGTCTCCAGCTCATTCGTTGACCTCCATATGGTTTCTTGTAGAATAGAGCGGCAACTGTAAAGGGCATGGTGGCACGGTAGACGCAGTGTCTTGGTTAGCGAAGCCTATTTATGTGAATTCGATGTGATAACATCGACACGTGAGCAAGGACACAATAGCATACCCCGAGTTTACTAAGCGGACCACTCCCACGTACGCCGACGTAGGCACTGATTGTTGAAAACCTATATTCGATGTCTTCCAAGAGTGAATTCAAGATCTGACAACTGTCATCTAGAAGTAATCGAATGGCGACGAAATTTCAATGACGACACGTAATCGCCAAACGTACTTCCTTTGTATGTTGCTCGAGCCTGGGAAACGTGGGCAGTTACCTCCTTTAGTGCTCCACCGTCACTGGTCACACAACTCCCTAGGTAGAAGAAATCAACCTCGGTCAATTTCTAACCATCAAGTTTCAGAGCAGAACTAGTCGACACCCAGTCTTGTAGCATCACTGCATTTCGAAGATGCGGAACCCACCGAAAGGAGATCGTGTTGGTCTGCTAAGTGGCCCGGCCCGTAGCCAATGGATTGTCTACGGATAACACAGTTGAGTGCTACCGAGCGCGTCTCCAGGTCGCGGAGGCTGTCTCGCAGTATAATCGGTCGCGGTCGATCAGCAGCGATGCTAAAGGATGTGCGGGGTTCCGGTTGGGAACCGATATCCTTTTCAAAAGTGTCTGCTAACAACATTGCGACGTGTGCGAACGTGGCCCCTCACCAAACAAGGCTATTGCTATTTGCCTGCTCTTCCAGTTGGGACAAACTGCGGAATACTACTAACCCCCATACCTAACTGACACAATGGGATCCTGGACTGGCGCTGAGTCATCCGAAAGGTGTATGAACCACTGACGGTTACGTGCTATCGATCATCCTACCCTGTATCCCTACATGTCGCACTTGGTTGTGCAAGGGTTCGAGGTGCATCCTCGAACAAAAGCCGAGATGGTGGGGACGTCACTTAGTACATTATTCAAAATTTCCCTCGTAGACCGTCTTGCAATGGTACAACACGTTCAGTTCTACGGCGTTCCCGGGAAGCGATGCGCCCTGCGCTCTCCCAATGACTGGGATGACAAATGAGCAAGCTCAGAATCTAAACCATCTGTACAGCGGATCCATCACCTACGTAGCTTGCCGGCATGTTAGGGCATTGCTGAACACAGGTAATCAGTGTATCACAATGCGTTCACTGCACGACTGCAAAGTAGACATCTGTTGTCTGTCCGAAGTCTATCTGATTCTGGCACAAAAGTGATCAACGTACCACATAGCTACGCAACCTACCGGCTATACCACAGCGGTACAACTGACAACTCCGGTTAGCACGGAGTAGCGATCGCCGGGAGCGGCCAGACCAACAATATCAGTGTCTGCTGGGAACCAAACTGCTATAGCGCGCTTCAGAGGTAACCCGTTAAACCTGTCATCGCTGTCTATAATCCAAAGTCACATGCGGAAACGCCCGTCAAAGACGACTAAGATAATCAAGTTCAAGAAGTAGTGAACCCCAGTGCGAGACGCGACATCCCTTTATCGCAGGAGACTGGAATGCACTGGTCCATCAGACGAGCATATGCGGAAAATCCTGGGAAATTTCGGCCTTGGTTCACATTGCGAAAACGGCGAACGCAGTCGCATTTACCGACTTTGACTGGCTAGGTGTGGTCAACACCGGTTTTCAGCACCCATGATAACACCTACTTACGTGTTACTCGAATGACAGTCGAACAGCACATCAGATTGATTACATTTTGGTACGTGTTCGCAGGGCTTCTTCAGTGGAAGACTGACGTTCCTATCACGGCGCAGAAACTGGAACGGCATATCACACCATATCCTTGTACGCGCCCGCTTCTAGATCCACCATACTGCTCGCCACAAGACTAGTTTCCCAGGCAAATTCAACATCGCGCTCTTGGAACGACCTGAGGTGGGCGCTGTTGGACCCAACCGCTTCCAACATAGCCACAACATCCCTCGACGGTTCAACTGCCGATGCAGTGGTTCATGCAGAAAATGAGCGTCAGAGAAGCTGCACTGGGGCAGTTAGGTAAAGCTTCGCCGCAAAAGAGACTGGATCTCCGAGCGTACAGTGCAAGAGGTACGGCTGATCTATTCTCCCGAATTTTGTATTCTACATCACCAAACCAAACGCTCCGCAAAGAGGGACCATAAACAACACAGAGAGACGATTGCAAATAGAAATGAGGCTGCAACCGTCACAGCGGACTTTAGAGAGCTATTTCGTCTAATCCGTGTCGCAGAAGGAGACAGAAATCAGAGCCACTGCTGTGTAACACCACGAGCCAACTTATTCAGGTAAATGAACAGAAAATGCAAAGGTAGGTCGGACACTTCGGCAAGCTGGTCAACCGATCATCAAACCAACCTGACTATCCACAGGTATCAGGCAGTTCGGAGACCTACGACATCAATTGTCACCCACCTAGCATGACAGAAGTCTTCGCTTAGTCACTTCTCTGAAACGCAGGAAGGCCCGTGGAGAAGACGGAATAACACCAGAGCTATTCAAAGCTTGTCTAACAACTCTGATCGATCCGCTGCATTCTTCTTTCCACTCAACTTAGGCCAGGTTTTGCCAAAAGATTGGGCAACTTCAATTTTAGTCCCGGTACCAAAAATTGGGTAACAGATCTAGATGCGAAAAATACAGGAGTATCAGCCTCATTGATATTGCGTCCAAATTGTTTGCAGTGATATTATTTGCTTCTGTCGTCAGAGATAATAGCACCCGCCAGAACTAAGAGGGGTTTCACCGCGGAAGAGGCTGTTGGACAAATCTTCGTTCTTCATAGGATTCTGGAACACCTCTGCAAGTTCCAACAATCTATCACAGCATGTTTCAACCTTTTCCGCGATGTCTTTAACTTTGTCGATACAGAATCCTCGTGGTGCATAGTGCGATCCGACGGGATACTCGGGAAATTTTACTACTCATGGACCCGGGCGCGCATCCGTACCTACGGAGAAATCAGTTCAGTTTACCTTAAGTCCTGGAGTCAGGCAGGGTTGACCCCTATCACCGGTGCTATTCAATTACACCGTAGACTGGACGACTGGGCAAAAACTCGTCGACTACCCCGGAGTGCAGCTTAGCTCAGGTACACGGACTGCTGATCTCAAGTTTGCGGATCATCCGGTTGTACTTAGGGACACCATGGACCACCTCCAGNACACGGCAAAAAGAAAGACATTTTCGACCAAAACTTCTGCCACGGCAGAACCCCTCTCGATTGGTGGGGAGCTTGTCGAAATCAGACCAGACGGCCAGGCTAATGATGAAATCCAACTACGTGTATATGGAGCTAGAAGAGCCTTCCTGCAACTCCTCAAAGCGTTGTGGAATCAATGCGAAATAAGCTTAAACACTAAGCTTCGGGTTTATAAGGCTTCCATCCGCCCCATCCTCATTTATGGTTGTGAAACATGGCCGCTTGGAGTACAAAATACAAGCTAGAGGTCTCTGATCATTGGTGCTAACACCGCATCCCGAAAGAAAATTGGAGAGATCGGAGTTCCAACGATGTGGTTCGACAGCGCTGCTCGAACATCGACAAGCTTTTGAAAGTGCTACAACGCCGGCGCCTTCGATGGTGTGGCCATGCGCTCCTAAGGCCCGACGCTCAACTCTCGCGGCAGGCGGTAGCCCCCGCACTGTGTTATGGATGGCGTTGCTGATTCGGTGGTTAACTGAAGATCTGGAGCAGTTCGACAAAGGCGGACTTGAAATAACTG